CATGTAATGATCTCCAAGATACAATCGTAAGTGAAAGAACAATGCAAAGAAAACTATGTAATTAAAAACTAAGGGATAGAGATAGGCAGGTAGATATGCATTTATTTGTATATGCATAACATATCTCTGTAAGGATATACAAAATGTGTTTAGTATTAGTTAATTCTGAAGCAGGGAATTTGTTGCCAGAGTAACAATATGGAAGGGAGAGTTTTGTTATACCTTTTCTTCCTTTCGACTGTTGAACCATCTTAACGTATTAACTAACCCAAAATGAAATCAAATTTAAATTTAAAAAAACTCATTGCTGTGAATCACAGTAACATTTAGTTCTGTACATGTAATTCTATACCTGGCACATGGGATGTCTCCTGCTGTTATGCATAAGATAGGTTGAGATGTGATCATGGGATTAGGCTCTAGACAAGCGGATAGGACAGTGCAGAGACAGATGATGACAGTGAATGTTATGTGCCAAGTTCCACAACACAGTAAAAACAATCTTTAGTTTATATGAGTCAGACTTGAAGTCTCTTATGTGCAAAGCTGTGCTGAATAGACATGTCGTAGGGACAGTTCTACAGCCCCACCTTTCTTCCCTTGCCACTACATGCCTGTCCTCCTGCTTAATACTGCTGCCATGTAAAAACAGCTGCCTCTCACTTGTCTCCCACTTGACCTTATTTTTTCTGATGCTTTAAAATCCCATTTCACACAGTCAAAGCTAGCACAGAAGATAAAGCAGGATTTAGAAGAGGATGGATAATAGAAGGGAAAGGAAGAAAAGCGTTCCTGTGATAAAATCTGGAAATCTAACCACCAGATTATAACATAATTTATATGGGAAAATTCATTTTGGTTTTCTACACAACCAGAATATCAATAAAACACTTTGAAAGGTAATGTAAACTGAGGAACTTCTGTGCTTATACTTCCACATGGAGGCATGAAGACCGGGTCATAACAGCAAAAAACAAAAAAACAAAAACAAAAAAAACACTCAAGGCTGATACTTAGACCCATTTAGCAAGGAGGCCTTCTTTTTCTTGAAAATAAATATTATATTGAATTCAATTTATGTATAGTTAATGCTGGCCAGTTTGTGGAGATTGTGGAAAAAGCAAAAAAAAAAAAACAGTTAGCACAGTCTTCGAGGGACAATTATAAAGGGCTTCAAGTGACAATTCTAAAGAGCTTCAAGACGGTGACTTCAAGTAGGTTTTTTCCCTCATCTATCACTGACACAAAAATATGTGAAACAGATGGTGCTTCTTGGCTATATATAGTTTTTGTTGAAACTTGTTAAAGACAGTTTGGATCATGATTAAGAAATCTTACCACCTCTTAACTGAAACATACCCCAGGGTTTTTCTTAGAAGGTGTTAGAAAGGCAGCTGATGATTATAGTCAATGTTTCCTTCTTCTACAAATAAAAAAAATCTAAAACCACCAATGGCCTTCTGGATGCAAGCAAATAAATACAGAAAATCAAAGACAACTGGGAGATTTTCATAACTAATCTAGTTTTTTAATTGAATCAACAAGCGTACTTTGGGTTATTGACATATATATACATTATATGAACTCTTACTTTGACTTAACGTTTTTCTTGAATGAGTTGTTGCAGTCATTAGACTGTTTGCTGACTATTTCCTGTTTTGCCCTCTTGGGTGCCGGGGAGATTGACACGTCTTTGCTCCCTTGTGTTTGGACAGGGCTGTGAGACTCATTTGAGCCAGAGAGTTGTGAACAGATGTGTGGTGTGGCTTCCCTGGGCCTGTACACGTAAGTACCAATGCCAGACTGCAAAATATTTTTTGTTCCTTTGTCACGTTAACCAGAAACAAGTAAGATAGTGGCTACTCTTGCAGCTGAGTTCCTTGACTGACCACAAGAAGCAAAGTTTCATTACCAAACTGTCGTGGACATGCATCAGGAGTGAGAAACAAAGCTGTATTGTTTTAAGCTTCTGAAAGTTTTTAGTTTGTTTATTACTCTAGTATAATCTAGCCTAGCCTGACTGATACAGATCATGCTGAAGTCACTGGCAATAAAACAACAGCCAATGACTTGCCAATGGAAAGGCAGAGAAAAGGAAGGTCTATTCCCAGAGACAGCATTGCTTTTTCCACATGAACAGGACAAAAAAGCAAAACAACAACAACAACAACAACAACAACAACAAAAACAAGTATTCCCAGGCATATATCTGCAATGCTACAGCTTTCCTGTAAGAATGACTCTCTTAATTATGTTCTCGTGATTGCCAAAACCTAGAAGCCACTGGAACAAATTTGAGTAAAAAGGATTATGGGATCATTAGTATCTTATAAGTGAAGAAAATCTTAGGAGGTGGTTTAAAAAAACAACATTAGGAGAAAAACATGTAAGAAAATTAGACAACCAGTTCAGGAAGTTGACTGGGATTTCTACAAGAAAGAAAAATGAAGGAGATAAATTAGGAATTAAATACAGTTTTCTAGAAATGAAATTTTTAAAATTTCAGATTGAAAAAAAATCCACTGAATTCTCTGCATAAATATTGAAACCTAGAAAGACACACCATGCTGAAATATCGGAATACTGGGGACCATGAGAAGATTCTAAAATGTCTAGGAGAAACAGGGGTAGGAAGAAAGAAAGTGAGAGAGAGGAAAAAGAAAGAAAGGAATGAGGAAGGAGAAGCAGGAAGGGAGAAGGAGAGAGGGAGGGAGGAAGGATGGAAGGAAAAAGGGAAGGAAGGAATGAAGGAAGGAAGGAAGGAAGCGAGGGAGGGAGGAAGGGAGGAAGGGAGATTTCTGACAAAGCATCAATAATCATAATGCATTCTGTATTAAGATGGCATTAGGTATTATATAAAATAGAATCAAACTATAACATTGCTCAAACATATTAGTTTATTTCTTGTTCAGGCAAAAATCCAAAGTTTCTGGTTAATAGGCAGTTTTTATTTAGTACATCAGGGACTAAGGAACTTTCTCATATTGGGAGTTTCTTTTTTTTTATTAAAAACTATCTTTATCTTTTTTTTATTATTATTTTACTTTAAGTTCTAGGGTACATGTGCATAACGTGCAGGTTTGTTACATATGTATACTTGTGCCATGTTGGTGTGCTGCACCCATCAACTCGTCAGCACCCATCAACTCGTCATTTACATCAGGTATAACTCCCAATGCAATCCCTCCCCCCTCCCCCTCCCCATAATAGGCCCCGGTGTGTGATGTTCCCCTTCCCGAGTGATCTCATTGTTCAGTTCCCACCTATGAGTGAACATGCGGTGTTTGGTTTTCTGTTCTTGCGATAGTGTGCTGAGCATGATGGTTTCCAGCTGCATCCATGTCCCTACAAAGGACACAAACTCATCCTTTTTTATGGCTGCATAGTGTTCCATGGTGTATAAGTGCCACATTTTCTTAATCCACATTTTCTTAATCCAGTCTGTCACTGATGGAGTTTCTATTCTCTAGAATGTCATTATCACCTGCATTCAGCTGGCAAAATGGTGGGTGGAAGTATGCAGGAAAAATATTATTTTCTTAAAACCTTTGATCAGGAAGAAAACACATCACTTGTACTAACACTGCATTAATACCAGAACAATCATAACTACAAGCAAGGCTGAAAAAAACGCAGCATTGTTGTGTGACATGGAATAAGAGGAATAGGATTTTTAGTGACTAGCTAGCAGTGTAGAAGGAGCAGTGTAGAAGCAGTGTAGAAGGTCCAGTGAGTTCACTAGCAGTAAAGAGGGCTGGTTCCCTTTAGGGTCTAAGAAAATAAAATGATGCTTCTGTGCAGGTGTGCAACTGTGCAATAAAAAAGAGCATCAGATAATAAAAGTTTGCAATGCTTACTTGGAACTGAATCATTTTGATATGACTAATTAGGAAATATGGCTTCATGTGTATTACTGTACTGGCACCTGCTCAGTGATATAAATTTGATGGATCTCTTTAGGGATATGTTGGCAATACTCCCTTGCATGGAAAATGCTGAAGGAAGCTTCAGCTGGAAAGAAGACCCTCATGGGGATCCTGTGACGCAGGAGATTCTGGTTATCATCTTTGCATCTTTTTCTATCAAACAAACCACACTCTACAGCAATATCTGGAGTAGTGCTTTTGTCCTGCAACAAGAGTGGAGAATTGTCTTCAAATTTTCACCTGGAATGTATTTCTATCCCTACAATTTAGTACCCTGCCAAATTATCAATTACACGTGAGAATAGAATAAAGACATTTCCACATATGTGGTTTCAAAATGTTTTCTACCCATTTGTCCTTTCTCAGAGATATATTGGAGGATGTGTTCTACCAAATTGAGAGAGTAAGCCAAGAAAGAGGAAGACACAGGACACAGAAAATGGATGATCCTTTCCAAGAGATACAGAGAATTCCCAGGACATCTGCTATTAGAAAGCCTCTGAAAGAAACATCTCTCAAGAAATGAAATCAGTATATTCCTGGATTTGTTTAAATGGTTGAGATAAGATTTACACATCTAGAGGAGGAAAATTAGTGACAAGAAAGTGGAATTTCATAGAAAAAATGGCACGAAATAAATCTCTAGTACAGACAATTGCTATTCTTCTTCCTTTCTTCTCCCCACACATTCCTCCTTTTGTCCTCTTTCCATTGCTCCCTCCTCCTCCTCTCTTTCTTACCTCCTTCATTTTCTGCTGTATTCTTCAAATAATTTGATATGCTTTATATGACGTACATGCAAACACTAAAGGATAAAACAAAAACTGAGAAAGTTGGAGCAAAGGGGACCAATGAGTGCAAAAAACAGTTAAATAAAACTAATTATTACCTCAACCATGCAGAGGTAGAAAGTAGGAATTGAGAAGGCTTGCAAACAAGTCTCGCCAGAAAGTTTCAATGTTTATACCAGTTGTTTATTGAGGGTGTCCATTTCATTTGCTGTGAAGGTCACCTCATGATCAGAAAGAATGAGCCCAGGTATGAGACTGGAGTTGGTCTTATTGCAGGTGAATGAGGAGCCTGTGGCCATCAGGCAAGGGAATTTCTCGCTAGATGAAGTGAGGTCCTCTCCTCTACACAATGCCAAGTTCTCTGTAAGTATCAAGAACCTTAGCAGCAGCTGAGAAAAAGGTCAATAAATATGTTTTAATCAATAAAGTCTGTATTATATATGAAAATATAAATATACATGTGTTTTATTATTTTATACTTTGTCTAATTGGTGACATTTTGGGAGGTATTTATATTTCTCCATCTCAAATGTTTGTCAGTCATTTTGCTTACGATATATTCCTACAGGATGTATTTGGATTGTTTGTGATATATATGAAATACATATATAAGAACATCAAGTTCAATGATATAATCATATAAAATAAGATAAGAAAAATGTGGCGCTCATTCTTAGCTCACAGAGTCTCATGGTTCATTTGTCCTTTTTTTTAATTAAAGGCAACACAGTCTAGTGAAATGTGCATAAACGTTATAACCAACATCCTTGAATGAAAGTCTTTGCTCTAAAAATTAACAAATATATTATTACTTTTAATTTTTTAAGGAAGGAGCTTATGTTGTTTGAGCCTCAATTTCCTTCCCTATAGAAGTAGGGATGGTGACAGCAATCCCTAGGAGTTTCTGTGATGATAAAGAGAACACTGACCTCTGGGTGGGCACTGAAAGAATGTTAGTTATTATATCTATGTATAATATGCTAAACACTCTCCACCCTCCGTCTTCTATCTTTCCCATGCATATTTAATAAGAATACTTCTTTTGTACCTGAAATGTACATTTTCAAATGTCCATATTCATTTATATATGAGCATGTATGTTGTAGGGAAGACCTTACCATTTTAACTAAGTGACCTGTGATAAGTTAGTGGTGAAACCACTAACTAACCCCTCCAATATGTTTAACTATTCTGTGGCTATACTGCCACCCTTGAAGTTAGTTAAGTACACCATGTGACTATGTTCTCCCAACTGCAATGTGAGAAATGATATGGGCCACTTTCAACCAGAAAATATGCCCATCGTGCTACTCTTAGCTCTTTCTCTTTTCAAGATAACTGCAGTGGTAACTATCAGGCTGTGATGGTTAATACTGATTGTCAACTTGATTGGACTGAAGGATGCAAAATATTGATCCTGAGTGTGTCTGTGAAGGTGTTGCCAAAGGAGATTAACATTTGAGTCAGTGGGCTGGGGAAAGCAGACCTACCCCTAATCTGGCAGACACCATCTAATCAGCAGCAAATATAAAGCAGGCAGAAAAACGTGAAAAGGAGAGACTGGCCTAGCCTCCCAGTCTACATCTTTCTCCCATGCTGGATGCTTCCTGCCCTCGAACATCAGACTCCAGGTTCTTCAATTTTGGTGACTAGGACTGGCCCTCCTTGCTTCTCAGCTTGCAGACAGTCTATTGTAGGACCTCGTGATCATGCAAGTTAATACTTAATAACTCCCATTTATATATATGTAGATATATCCTATTAGTCCTGTCCCTCTAGAGAACCCTGACTAATACACAGGCTGATAATAAAATCGATATTTTTAGGATGACATAGTCATTGTCAGTCTAGATCTTCAGTGATTGTGTGGAGAAATTACACCCTACTGAGCTAAATACCTCCCAGGACTGCTAAGTAAGAAATGAATGGTATTTATCCATTGATGTTTTGTGGTCACCAAATGGGCTAACCATCCAATCTCAGTATTTGTATCTGAAAAACAAGAGAGTTGGATCAGATTACTACTAAGATCAATTTTGGTAATAACATATCTATGATCCTTAACTCTAGGTCAGTAAAAGATTTCCACAAATATTAATTCTTTTCCAACTTACAGAGAGCTGCACATTAAAAAGAATACTTAAAATACAGGTATTTGAAAAAGCTAGAGAAATATGTATAATTGAGAAAAGAACTGGTGAATCCAAGAGACTAAGGGGAAAAGAATCCAGGGGAATCAAAGAGAGAGAGAGACTACACAGAGTGTATAGAATAACCAGATTTCTGCTTGACCCCAAATCAGAGAGCTGTGCAGCTTCAAAGCCAACAGAGGAGCCTTGTGCCCACAAAGAACGAGAGAGTGTAGCATGATCGCTTGACTGAGGATAGAAACAGGGCTAAATTGAGAAAGAAATAAGACTTGGGCAAAGTCAAACAAGAAAAACCCATGTTCAAGACTGGAAATTGGAAACCCAGTTAGAACCACTGGAACCTAATGCTACCCAGAGTCAAACCAGGGGGATCCAGCAGCCCACTGTTATTTTGCCTTTTTTGACCTCAAATGTGCATTCTTTTTGCCTTTTCTGGTTTTATTACATTCTCCTAAAAGTGCAGCAACAAATTTTGCAAATAAAATAGAAACCAAATTCCACAGGAGTATAAACAGTGGTTTTAGAGTGGAATGGAGTAATAGTTTCAGTTTGTTTGCCAAAGCATTTGCTTCATGTCAAATTGCTGAGAAGTGGTAAAAGTTAGGATACTAACCAAGTGCAGAGAATGAGTAGCAATGACAGAAGCCATCTAAACCTGAAGGCAGAGCATCATCCAAAGAACCAGACCAAAGAACCAAGGTCTGGAACCAACCATTTGAGATGCAGTAATAAAGCAGACTCTTTATTTTGGTGCGACTATATGCCAGACATTGTTTTAAGGACTTTATAGCTACTATTTCATATATTCCTCCAAATTAATTTTCTTTCCATTTTACAGATTTGAAAACTGAAGTGCAAAACAGCTAGAGCAGTAAGTAGAGAACAACTTCTAACAGAGACCATCTTACTACTTACTATCAATATCTTACATACTATCAATATCTACTTGGATTAGCTACATCCAATTACTAAGTGAATTAAACAGGTGCTGAAGAATAAGAATCAAATATCGTTATTAGAATCACACCAGGTTCAAAGACTGAGCCTGAAAATAAACTTTTAAATGTGAGTTTCTTCCTCTATCCCAGTCTGACTGGTTGACAATAGTCCCTAGACTAATTGCCTTTCTGGCCTCCTCTCCTTCCAGAGAGCTTGTCCTTTTCACATGCCCCTTCCTACCACCTACCTAGCACAAGACCTAACCTGAAACAAATAATCCATTGGCCACTTAATAATCAATTGGATTTTCTCTATCAAATATTTGAACTAAGACTTAGAAACCGACATTAGCTGGGAATAGGTAATTGAGCTGAAAAACCATGTGGCACCTGTGCAGCCATAATGCCTACAAAGAAGATGAGCAATTCAAAGACAGTCTTTCCTGTGATAAATAAAAGGACAGGATAAAGGAGAATGAGAAGAATAGAGAAGGAAAAGGGGAAAGAGGGTTCAATAGCCTGTGAGTGTCAGAATGTATCCTCGGGTCTTGACTTTCCAGGTCCCATGTTTGGTGTCTTAAACATCAGGCTCTGCCTTTTGCTTTCCTATATTCTGGGATTCCCCAGTTCAGAAAGTGATTGTAAAAGAAATGGAAGTACATGCTAAGTTCACATATTGAAATACTCAATAGTGTAAAGATGGTAATGCATTCCAAATTGATCTATAGATTTAATATAATCCCAATCAGAAGTACAGTAGTATTTGGTTTCTAGTTGTTTATGGAACTAGGCAAGCTGGTTCTAAAGTTAATATGAAAATTCAAAGGCATGGAATAGCTAAGAAAAAAGTTGGAGGACTTATACTAACAGGCAATAATTAATATAAAGCTACAGGCCGGGTGTGGTGGCTCACGCCTACAATCCCAGAATTTTGGGAGGCTTAGGTGAGAAGACTGCTTGAGCCCAGGAGTTCGAGACCAGCCTGGGAAACATGGCAAAATCCCCATCTCTACAATAAATACAAAAATTAGCCTTGCGTGGTGGCGTGTGGGAGGCTAAGGCTGGAGGATTACCTGAGCCCAGGAGGTTGAGGCTGCGGTGAGCTATGATCATAGTACCGCACTCCAGCCCAGGCAACAGAGCAAGACTCTGTCTTAAATAAATAAATAAATAAGCTACAGCAATTACATAAGTAGTATTGGCATCAGGAAGAAATAATAGGTCAAAGGAATGAAATATAGACTTTAGAAATGTACTGGCACAATAATAAACATTAATTTATCATAAAGATCATAAAGATCACATTAATTTATCATAAAGAGCAAAAAAAAAAAATCTTTTAAATAAATGTTTCTAGGTTAATTGCCCAATAGTACACATATGGGGAAAAAAGAATCTTGACTCTACCTCATACCATTTACAAAAATCAATTCCAGGTGGATTGGGAATGTGAAAGATAAAACAAAAATTACCTAAGATATTCATAGGAGAATATCCTCATATCTTTAGGATACACAAAGATATCTTAAGTCACTAAAAACAAGGAATAAAAGATAAAAAAATAAACAAATGTTATTGATAAATTGGACTGAAGGCAAATTGGGTTATCCAGAATAAATAAAGAACTCCTGCAATCAATAAGAAATCAGTAAGAGAGAAGATGCGGTGGCTCACGCCTTTAATCCCAGCACTTTGGGAGGCTGAGGCAGACAGATCACTTGAGGTCAGGAATTTGAGACCAACCTGGCCAACATGGTGAACCCTATCTCTACTAAAAATACGAAAATTAGCCAGGCATGGTGATTCATGCCTGTAATCCCAGCTACTTGAGTGGCTGAGGCAGGAGAATCACTTGAATCCAGGAGGCGGAGGTTGCAGCAAGCCAAGGTCATGCCACTGCACTCCAGCCTGGACAACAAAGTGAGACTCCATCTCAAGAAAAAACAAAAAATGAAAAAATTAATAAGTTAAAAGAAATCAATAAGAAAAAAAACGGCAGCTTAATAGAAAGTGAAAAAACTTCAACAAGTTCTTTACAAAAGATTAGCCAAATGTCCAATAAACATAAAAACGTGCTAAACATCATTAGCTATTTGGGTAAAAATAAATTAAAACCACAATGAAATACTACTAAACAACCATCAGAATGGCTAAAATTAAAACACACACACAGAAACTGACAATTCTGAGTGTTGGTTAGGCTGAGGAACAACTGTGATTCTCATTTATTGCAGGAGGAAGAAAACATTTGTTAAGTCATTTAGTATTTTGAAGAGTCTACAAACATTTGTACATGTGCTCGATATAGCAATTATATATATATATATATATACGTGTGCGTGTATACACACACACACACACATATAGATGTAGATAGCCCCAACAAAAATGCACCAAAGGATGTGTTCAAGAATAGTTATAGTAGCATTATGTAATAGCCAAAGATTGGACTCAGTCCAAATGAGGGAATCATGTGCCTTACTGTAGTCTCTCCTCTGCAGGAGAAGACCCTAGAAAAGCCAAAATCATGACAATTGCAATGATAAAGTGGCATAAAGTGACAAAGTGACACTTTATGGAGCAAAGTCTAGGTATGCTGATTTCCTGAAACACTTACAGAATGTACACTCAATCCTACCTTCTAATCACAGGATGGTCCCAGGCAGCTGGTTTGATATGTGTCATGCATTCAGAGGTTTTGTGCAAAGATAGATTGGGAAGTAAAGGTAGTCTGCTCCACCACATGAAGTCCCTGAACCTGGGGCCAATATGAAAGCAAACTGGATGAGGGTGTGGATTCTGCTAAGCCACAATTTCAGCAATACGTCCAGTATTGCTTTTAAAGAATGAAACGCTTCCAAATGAGATTTAGCAGCAGCTCACTAAAGTTTTATGGAAGTTGTATTGCCAGGAAAAAAAAAAAAAATTGCAGCTTGCAAACGGGAAACTGTGCCTGACTCAAATCAGCTCAACAGGGTATCTGGCCATTCATGACTGATAAAAAAATATAGTGCTCTAGAGGGTACCCAGCTCCATGAGGGTATTCTCCCTGATATCTGTCTCAGGGTGACCCTAAAAAAATAGGGAAAATGGTTGAAATTTTCCTGATAGGCAATACCCAGGGAACTTCCTTTACTTCAAGAGAGTGAGATGGCATGCTGATGCCCATGGCACTCACTGATCTAACTCATCATGTAACTTACAGCTCCTGGCCTCTTAGTGCCGATTGAAAAGGCCATTGTGAAACTGAACTTCTTCCCTGAAGGCTGTTAAAACCTGCTTAATATAGGAGGTCTCTTCTCCAACTCCCACTTCCTTTTTATACTATTGATTATTGAATGTTGTCTTATTTGGGGACCAGTTGTTTGCAAGGAGTCTTGATTTATTCAAAATGTGAGAAAAATATGAGAATTTCTCAGAAGGAAACTTAAGGGCAGGACACACCAGATTTCATGAGTGGAACTAGGAAAAAAAGAAGTTGAAATTGACTTGATTCTGTTCTTTTTAAGTGTACATGATGTGTTTTTACTGCCCTTTTCTCTCTCTTCTCTCTCTCTCTCTCTCTCCTCTCTCTCTCTCTCAGCTACAAAATATAGGTTGCTTCTCTTAAAGTTTTGAGAAAATCACATAAAACTTGAAGGGAAAGTTGTTTCTGTTAGGCAAAATGCTTCTATTCCTGTTTCCAGTGTGTTAGTAGTGGTTAAATTTAGAATTTACTCCAGTAAATCTCAGACTTTTGCACAGATTAGAATCATCTGAGAGGCTTGTTGTTAAAACACAGACTGCTGAGCACCATCCCAGAATTCCTGATTCTGTAGATCGGAGGAGGGGCCTGAGAATTTGCATTTTTCATGAGTTCCCTGGTGATGCTGATGATGCTGCTCAGGGTCCCACTGTGAGAGCCACTCATTTATTGCACAGTCTGCATACTGGTGAAGACTGGAGAGGAGGAGAGGACAAGCAGAGGAATAGATATCACCTGGTGATAGAAGGCCGTGATACACGGGAACTGGCTGTGATTGTCCTCTTCCTACCAAGTTTAGGGTGAGCATTTTTGCAGTTGTATGTGTGGCAGGCCGTAACTGGAGGTATGTGTATGAAGGAAAAGATGTTTGTGTGTTTGGAAGACTAAAGAGTTCATTAGACAAGTCTCATTGCTTGTCCTCTCTCCCACTTCTTCTAGAAAATCTATGCCACTCAATCCTAGAACAGGCAGTAGTTCATAGTTCTGTTGTCCCAGTTGGCCTGTGTCAGTTTGCATTTACATCTGTTCCTGGTGTAATTAATAGTGCTCCTTTTACTCTCAAAAGTGTGGTCATTCAGTACATAGCAGATGACATCCACTTCTTTTTCCCCTCACCTCCCTCCCTCAAAGCTTACTTGACCGGGAAAACTACTTCACCCAAGGCTAACCAAGCCATTGGCTGGTTAGCAATGAATCAGATGCTAACTCTTGAAAATTTATGCTAAAAGACTGTAAGAGATGACGTCAGAGGGTAGCTTAGGGTCCTAAAAAGTCATGTGGAGTCAGGGCTGGGGAGGCTCTTGGGAGACATAGTTAGCCATATTCAGGATGACTAAACAGAGAAAGTCAGCCAGGGAGCAGTAGAGGAGTAAGCCTGAAGAGGAAATGAAGCAGCTGCACAGACAGAAACCATGAAATGAAGAAGCTGACTAAGATACAGCAGTTCCTGAAAGACAGGGTTCCTGACTTTTCTGTTCCCAGAGTCTCCAAGAAGCCCGGCTGTAAATATTTTCCCAGGGTTCTCTAAGGTTTCTTAAACAGCCATCCTTTATGGGAGCTAGCTTGAAAGGGTTTCTTTCCTGTACAAGCAAAAAAGCATTAAGTAGAGTGCTACTGACATTACACGGTCAATGTGCCCCAAGCAGCCTCTTCAGCTCTGGCTCTGCACGTCTTCTTTGCTTTCTGAGCTGCAGAGACACTTTAGTCTGACATCATTGCCCAGTAACTTCCCTGTTCGATTCTTTTCCAGTGCTGCTGGGCGAAAGTGGAACAGAACAAACATCAGCAGAGGTAACTACATGGGTAAGTGGAGCAGAGACACACAATTATAGAATTCACAGTAAAATTTGAGATCACGGAGACTCATTCCTTTCTTTTACATATAAGAAGGCCTAAGGGAAGTGACTTTTCCAAGATCATAAACAAGACAATCTACCCCAAAGATTATTCTTCACTCCCCACTTTTGCCCTGTCAGATTTGCTTTTGTGCAAAATGTATTTGATGGGGGAAAAAGTTCAATCCACAATTTAAGTTAAGGATGGAAATGAAAAGGGCCTAGAAATGGCAGCACTAAGTTTTATTGACTTGGAAAGCTGTAATCCAATAGATGGGAAAAGCACAAAAATACAATCCTATTCCATCATATAAGACCTAAGTACCTATATGTACTCAACAGAGAAGTATAACCTGAAAGTATCCAATATTTGGTTCAAAACAATTCACTCTAACTCCTGCAAAAGCATGTCAGTATTGAGATTGATCTCACTGGTTTCCTTCTTTCTACTGTAGCTGAGGACCCACATAGAAACCACATGAAAAATATTAACAGCATTTTTCATGTGTCCTTCCGCTAAAGTATAACCTGGCCAAATGTGCTTCGAAAGCATTTTAGGAAATTTTAGTATTTATTAACTTATACTATTGGACATATTGTCAAATTATACAAAAGAACTATCCCAAATATTATGATAGTTTATGATTACAAATATTAGAGGAATCTTAAAAAGTAACATTGCCTTTTCCAATACCATCTTTCTCACTAAGATGGTACCACAGCTGTGAAGTGAATACCTTCCTTAGGAGAAATCCTGTTTTTAGCAAATATAGTTGTCTGAAATCAGGAAGAAAGTAACAAACATCAGCCTTCATCTGAACTGTAAGTCTAACACAGCAAACCAGCTCTCGATACCACTGGCCCACTTGTCTCCTAATCTTCAAAAGGAAGTACTATGTTACTCCTCAGCAGGCGACCCCAGTACAAGTTACTCTTAGGGAAGGTCTCCAAAAAGCATACTTTCAAATTGCTTGCCCACTACCTCAACCTCTCTCTCTCAGTGTTTACTCATGCTTTTATTATCAACTATCTGAGGAAAAATCTCAAAAAACAAAAAACATGTCTTTGCCCAGTTCAGGATGAGAATGAGAACTTCTGCTTGTCTCCCATATCCTGTCCTTCCACTCTCTTCTCTTCATCTTTACATTTCCCATCTCACATCTCCCTTCACTGACTCTTTCCCATGCCCTATAAATATATTCAACACTCTCTCCTTCTAAAAACCAAAAACTTTTTAAAATCATATTTACCCTCAAGTGAATTTCCCATTTCCTTTTTTCTTAACCACTAAACTTTTCACCTCCAACTTGTCACTTCAATTACAGCAATTCTGTATTAGTTGCTTCTCATATTGCTGTAAAGAAATACCTGAGACTGGTAGTTTATAAAGAAAAGAGGTTTAATGGGCTCGTGGTTCTGCAGGCTGTACAAGAAGCATGATGCTAGCATCTGCTCAGTTTCTGGGGAGGCCTCAGAAAACTTACAATCATGGTGGAAGGTGTAGGGGGAGCAGGCACATTACAATGGCCAGAACAGGAGCAAGAAAACAAGAGAGTGAAGGGGAAGATTCCACTTTTAAATGACCAGATCTCATGTGAATTCACTCACTATCAGTGACAGTACGAACGGGGATGGAACTAAACCATTCATGGGAAATTCACGCCCATGATCCAATCACCTCCCACGAGGTCCCACCTCCAACATTGGGGATTACACTTCCATATGAGATTTGGGCAGGGCCACACCTACAAACTATATCAAATTCTTTTCCCACCTTATTGAAAGGAAGTTTCTCGTCATCTATTATCAAAGTCAACCATCTCTTCTCATTCTTCATTTCATTCTTCCTCTTGGCAAGAAGCAGTTCCATTGAATACCACATACTTATTTCAATTCTCACCTTCAGCTTTAATTCGCTTCTGTGATTCCCTTCCTACCTTTCTGAGTAATATTTCCCACAACGCTTGGGAGTTCCTCTTCTTTTCCACACCCAGTGAGAGGAAGTTTTCCACCAGCTTCATCTCCCTGCTTTAACACTCACCTCTACCAGTTTTTCCCTGACCTCTACAATTTCAGGACTGCCCTCACTTCTAAGCCTCAGACTTAAAACTCTGATGTGGTTAGAATGTGTCCCCCAAAGTTCATGTGTTGGAAACTCAATCCCCAGTGCAACATTGTGGATAGGTGGTACCTTTAAGAGGCGATTAGGTCATGAGGGCTCTGCCTCCTGAATAGAGTAATGCCATTATAGATGGGTTCCGTCTAAAAAAGATGAGTATGTACTTTGGGAGTCCGAAGAGGGTAGATCACCTGAGGTCAGGAGTTCGAGACCACCCTGGCCAACATGGTGAAATCCCATCTCTACTAAAAAATGCAAAAATTAGCAGGATGCGGTGGCAAGCGCCTATAATCCCAGCTACTCGGGAGTCTGATGCAGGACAATTGCTTCAATGCAGGAGGCAGAGGTTGCAGTGAGCCAGGATTGCACCATTGCACTCCAGCCTGGGTGACAAGAGCGAGACTCCATCTAAAAAAAAAAAAAGAAATGAGTGTGGCCCCTTCCTCTCTTTCTCTCAGGCTCTCTTGCCCTTTTGCCTTCCACCATAAGCTAACACAGCATGAGGCCCTTGCCAGAAAGCTGACTCCTTGATAGAGGACTTCCCAGTCTACAGAACTATGAGCCAAACAAATTTATTTTCTCTGTAAATTACCCTGTCTCAAGTATTCTGTGATAGCAGCAGAAAACAGACTAAGACAATCTCCAGCTGCTTGCTTGACACCTCCATATGCATGACCAAAATCAGATTCATGTTATTCTCTACAAAACCAAATTCCTGTAATATTCCCAGTGATCTGACCCTAATATAATCTCTCAAGCTTCTCATCATGAAGCTCACTGCCTATTAATTTCTTTTCCACTTACACAGAACAACATAGTATTTCTGCCTCTAATGTTGCACACACTGCTACAGCTCTTTAGCATCTATTTCCTCTGTTTTCCTCTTATGAAACTCCCACCAATCCTTCAAGGCCTAATGAATGTCACCTTCTCCATAAATTTCTTCCCATTTTTTCTGTCTTAGACTAGGCTGTCACATAAGTGGAGGGTTTGTATTCCTGTTAGAGTTTTTATAGCTTTTAATTTATACTGTACTGTCTTTCAGAGTTTTGAACATTTTTAAATTACTAAATGTATATCACATTTGCTGTGTGCCTATTGTATGCCTAAATTTTTATGTATGTTAACATTAATCCAGTCCGTTTCTTCAACCAATGTTAATTAAATGATTAATTGTAATTGGCTTATATTAAGTATCTTTGGGATATGACAATGAACAAGATAGACAAGGCTCCTACTCTGTGAACCTTATGGAGGTGGTAATTTTATATAGACATAAGTGCTGTGAGGAGAGTTGAACAAGATAATGTGGTAACGGCTGGGGGCTGTTTTTGCTAAATGGTCAGGGAAGGCTTATGTGAGGAGGTATAACAGAGCCAGCCAGGTGTGGCTTCATATGCAAACACTCATAAGATCAGAATCAGTTATGCACATTTCAGGAACAAAGGGCCACCAATATGACTAGAAAGATATGGCCAGGAGATCAAGTGGTTGGACACAAGAGGGAAAGAGAGAAAGAGAGGGCGAGGGAGAGGGAGAGGAGCCAGATCATGTAGAATCTTGAAGGCTATGTTGAAAAGACTGGATTTCACTTTAAATGAGTTAAGAAATCATTGGAGGAGGATTTTGAACAAGGAAATGAGATGATCTATTGTATGCATTTAAAATGTCATTCTGGTTATTGTGTTGAGAATAACTAGGACTCAGATTGAAGTGAGCATTCTTCAAACTTGCTAAAATATTGAATGTAGGCATGAGGGTAAGAAAGTAATCAAGTATACGTCTTCTGTTTCTGTGTTGAGAAATTGGGTGAAAGATCCTGCTATTTCATAAGTCGGGGAAAGCCGAGAAAATCTTTTTTTTTTCTTCATTAAGGAAAGGGAGGCCAAGAGTTCCATATTGGACTTATTAAGTCTAGCACATATTAGACATTTATAATCCTTGCAAAAATCTTACAAGATTGATATCATCATTCCATTTTACAAGCAAGGGAATGAATATTCAGGAATGTATTAAGTCTTGTCATCCTGAGAAGTGAAACTAGAATCCTTTCTTGTGTCTTTCTAGTATCATAGTACCTGATGCTATGGTCTTGAATGTTTGTGTCACTCTGAAATGTCTATATTGAAATCCTAACCACCAAGGTAGTATATTAGAAAGTGGGGCCTTTGGAAGGTGATTAGGTCCTGAGGGTGGAGCATTTCATGGACGTGATTAGTGCCCTTAGAAAGGAGGAATGAGGGAGCTTGGTTGCTCTTTCCACCGTATAAGGACACAGTGAGAAGACACCATCTATTAAACTGAAAGTGGATCCTCACTAGACACTGAACCTGCTGGAATCTTGATTTGAATTTCCCAGCCTCCAGAACTGTGAGAAATAAATTCCTTTTGTTTATGAACTACCCAGTTTATAGTGTTTTGTTATAACAGCCAAAACAATCCAAAATACCTGAGGGGTATTTAAAAGTGCCCTATTGCTTCCCTATAAGGTATGCAATAGATTTGATTTCCCTTCCTTGAGGGCAGAGGTTACTCAGTAGGATTCTCCATATCATTTAACATCACCTATGTAAAACATGTTTCTGTAAAAGCAAATCATCCGAAATATTTTACAGTTTAAATCTTACATATATGCATTACATTGGAAACTTTGAAAGTGGAGTCACTTTCCTCTGACTCGAGGAGTATAGTCTTCCTTAGAGGCATCCTTCCATATCCTCAACAAAGAAGGCAAACTGGGACAGTGGGAAGAGTACCTTTCATCTTTATACTTAAGTACCTGAGAACTGCTTTATTGTGTACCTCGGCTTTGGCTTCGAAGAAAAAGCTAAGCTGTT